GCTCTAGCTAGAGCTGGATATTCTTTGGTATGTTCTTCCTTCTCAACTCCTGGATTTGAGCTTGCTCCTCCCTCATGCCACTGCTCGCGTAGATCGCCTCCATCAACAAATACCCCGCCTCGTGCCTCGCCTCCACTTCAACCAGCAGATCGAAAGCAAGCTTTCCGACCGCAGCATTCTTCCACTGCTTGCAAGCGCCCAGCACCGTTCTCCAAGCAACACCACTCGCCTCACAAGGCATGGCTTTCACCATCTCCACCGCTTCCTCCAGCTCGTTTGCGCGGCCGAGAACGTCCACCATACAGTGGTAGTGCTCGGCCCAGGGACGAACTCCATACTTCGCTTCCATGAAGTAGCGCTTCGCTTGGTGGACAAGCCCGCCATGGCTGCACGCCGTGAGCACGTAAAGAAGTGCGATCCCATCTGGTTGCAGGCCTTCGTCTTGCATCTCGTCGAAGAGCTTGAAAACCATTCGCGTGTCCCCGTCGTGGCTGTGTGCTGCTATCACGGACGTCCAGGCAACCGCGTATGGTTTCTCCAGGGACTCGAAGACCTGCTGTGCCTTCGCTGCGTCCCCGGCTTTGCCATAGCCATCGACGATGCCGTTCGCGACAACGGGATCGTCCTCGAGTCCACACCTGGAGATATCTGCGTGAATTCCCTTCAGAGGCTCCAAGGCTCCCACGCTGCTGCTACCTTTGAGAGCAGCCACGAAAGTTGGCGCGTCGGTTTTGTATCCCTGTGCTCGCATTTGATGGAAGAGTTGCAGGGAAAGCTCCCCCTGACCACTTTCGGCGAGCCCGAGTATCATCACAGTCCAGGACACCGCGTCGTGAAGGCGCACCTTTTGGAACACCTTCCAGGCGTCCCGGATGCTTCCACACTTGGCGTAGAAGCTGACGAGCGCGCTGGCTAGAAAAGTGTCCGAGTCGAATTCAAAGCTGGCCGCTCAAGCGTGATTCCCCACGGCTTTCTCGAGTGCCTCCTCTACTTTCACGAGCCGTCCATCCCCATCTGTCTTCCCTGCTAGCCTGCTAGACTGCTGCAAGCCTTGAGTGCCGCACAAAACGTTTGAGAGGTTGAAACGCAGCTGCTGTTCGTCTCGAAGATACTCAAGGCCTCTTCTGCTTCCCCGTTTGTGACATATCCCAGGATCAAAGCGTTCCAAGAGACGGGATCCTGAGGCGTCATCCCATCAAAAACTTTCCGAGCGTCGGCCAAACTCCCACAGTTCAAGTACATGTCCACCAGTGCGTTCGCCACACTGAGGTCCGTGTCATAGCCACTCTTGAATGCTCGAGAGTGCAAAGCTGCGCCTGTTCCCAGCGACTCAGCCTTCACCATCCTTGGCTTCCTCTGTTGCTCTTAATACACTGTAGGCTTTGATGGCAGTGGCAAAATTGTACACATTTGGTAAAAAGTGAAAAAGGAATAATATTTGAGTTTAGACTCAGAAGAAATTTTTCCCTCCACTTTCCACATTCCTGCAAGTATGCAAGCTTTGAAGTTCGAGCTGGGTGCAAAGTTTGGACGTTTGACACATCAGCCTCATCAGATACATACAACAGAAGTATTTCAGGCCTTCCTAAGAGACAACAGTCATATTGGGTTGGTGTTGGCAACCAATCTGCAGCTAGTGGATGCTGAGAACAAGCTGCAGGACTTCTTTTTATTTAAACACAGGTATAAAAAATCTTTATAAAGCTCAATGTAATGTACTGTAACAGGGATGTTTATGAAGGGCAGCAAGCAATTGGGAAGAAAACTTTGAGAAAAAAATATGGACAATAAAGCAATGGATGAATGAAGGTATTTATTTTCTAGTTGTGGGAGGTTAATTGTGTGCCTTTTCTGGTCTTTATGACCGACCAGCATTGGGTAACTTGATTTCCAAAGTCAAAAAATCTGAAAGGATGGTGGTGCTTGTGCCAAAGGTTCATCAATGTTTATATGGGTAAGAGTCCAAGTTTTTTTATGCTTTATTTGTAGGTTTATTAGGTGCTGTGTGTTTTGATCTTGTGTACAAACCTAGTAACGAGCAAGATGACAGTACGAAGAGGAATCATTGGTGTTTTTAAAATGCTGTTACCATATTTACTCGTTTACCAATAATATTAAACATTAAAGGATGTTTAAACACTTTGTGAAGATTTATCCCTGATTATGGATGAATTGATTAGGAAAATTCTTATATAAACCTAATCTTCAATAGTTATAATAATAATTAATTTTAGTAATTATTGGTTAACCTATAGGGAAATATAGATATTTAAGGATGTTCTACCATCCAACGGTTGTTATTCATTTATATTAATCTTATATTTATAATTTATGACCATTTTATTATTTTTATTAATTTGTTTTTTATTTTTGATTTTTTTATAATTTATAAACTTTCCTAAACACTTCCTAGTATATTCTAGTTTATTTTACCATCTGATCATTGATATTCAATAATATTAATCTTGTGTTTATAATTATAAACTTCCATTTGATTAATTGGGTTAATAAATAGGAATAACACTACTATTAAGCAAACTAAGCATTGCTACATGCAAAACATAATTGATGACTGAACAATATCCATAGCACAATCCAAATCTAACATATCTATGTGATTAATTAAACAGAATTACCTCTAGTTAATTTATACTAATAAGAAGAGCCAAAAATAAACTACACTTTGAAGAATTGAAAACAAAAAAGAATAAAACTTTCAGCTAAAATTTAAAATCCGTCAACTTGCCAAATGAGCCAAGTATACAAACCCATTTCGTAAGCCAAGTAAAAGTCAATTACATCTTAGACCTTCACTCTGTCTTTGAGAATATGCCCCAGCACAATATCATCTCTACTACAGGGGATGGAACTGCACCCCTATTGAGATAAAATCCAGCCGTCTGCAAAAGGTGATGGTGTCTAGCTGACAAAATCCATTTAGCCTGAACTCCCAAAACATCTCCAAAGACTCCTTGCTCCTTCCATTCTCAGCATAGCAAGAGAGGATCAAGTTCCATGGTTTTATCCATGAACCTTGGAACACTAATATGGAGTCTCCACACTGGCCATACATGGAGATTAATGTGTTCTTGCTTGCTGGCATCTCCCATGATCTAAGAGACTTGGCTTGTCATACCAGCACAAGCATCAATCATTGATAGTAGCTGAGATCATTGAGCTTGATACCATGAGCCTGGAAACTTTGAGAGCTCCCTTGTAATTCATGAGAAGCACTAACTTCTCTTACCAAGATTGGGATGATCCTGCAACATTGATTCATATGCAAATCAGGTGCATTTGCACCGTGAAGAAAGGATTCCTCTTGAGCAAGACATGCACATTGTGCTGTTCTGGAAAAAATGAGAAAAGACACAATGTACAGAAGACTCAGAGGCATTTCCTAAGCTGGAAATGAAGGAGACGAACTAAGAAAATAACATACCAATTCAAATGTGTTAGCTTCATGAGCTTTTGTTTTGTAGAGTCTGCAAATTTTCTATCAGCAACATAAGCTAAAGGTTGCACCAGAGATGATAAAGCAACATAGAATTGCCAATAGGTTGCTTTGCTCATATTTTGGCATTACCAAGAACAACACTTAACTATATCTTGAAAATTAAATATACTGAAGTATTTAATTCATAACCTGTTGAAAATACCTCAATCCTTGTTTATTTCAATGGAAGCAAGCAATGGATAAAGAAAACATGTCTATCATTCATTTGTATGCACATTTTTTATAAAGTGGTTCTTCCAATTTCAATTATAACTTTTAGGAGTTGATGGGTCAATAAGACAAAACTCAACTCTGATGGTTTTATCAACTGTCATAAAGCTTAACTCATTGTACAAGGTTACAAACAAAATCTTAAGATATACTCTTCAATGGTGAAGATGATAAGTGTTAAAATTTTGTTTACTTTTGCTATTTGAGATTTATCACATTAATATCAAGACTACTTTCCTAAATAGAAATTTGCAAGAAGATCTACATTTAATAGCCAAAAGACTATACTTAATCTATATATCTTATGGAAGTTCAAGAAAAGTTCTTTATAGCTTTAAATAAGCCTTTAGATCATTGTGGTAAAAAATCAATACTTTTTTCAAAGCTGAAGGATTTTCTTACACTCCTGAATCCAATATTTATATCAAGTGAGAAGGGAACAATTTATTTATTATTGCTCTCTACATTGATAAGTTGTATTTTATTAGCAAAAATTGTGAATATTTATCAAGGCTAAACTTGAAAATTCTTAACTTAGAGAAACTTTGATACTTTATTGATTTTAAAATTCACCATGAATCTTTTAACATGTCCCATAACAAAAATACTTGACTGAAGTACTTAAAAGTTATGGATAAATCCTTTGTAGGCTCTTGAGTTTGGACTTCCCGGGAGGTCACTCAGCTCAGTACTATTTAAACCCAAGGACGCTTAACCCTAACTATCCCAAGACCCTTAACCGATTGAAAAAAGGGGTACACTCTTGTTCATAGGCCTTTTCTGTCTATATTTGAACCCCATGAAATCATTCTCTTTGGTTACTTACAATTCACCACGCTTCCCTACAAGTTCACGCCCTCGTGAACGGAAGTTGAGAGCCGCCGCTCACTTGACACCCTACCCCTCGGGTCGAGCCCAGCGAGAGCAAACTGTTTGACCCGAGGGGAGCAAACTGGACCAGCCAGATGTCAATCAACATGTGGTGTGATTCCTGTAGCCAACCAACAGAGTCGGACCTGAGACCCCTCTGATACCAAATGTAAGTTCTTGAGTTTGGACTTCCCGGGAGGTCACCCAACTCAATATTATTCAAACCCAAGGACGCTTAACCCTAACTATTTCAAGACCCTTAACCGATTGGAAAAGGGGGTGCACTCTTGTTCATGGGCCCTTTCCCTCTATATTTGAACCCCATGGAGTCTTTCAAATCATTCTCATTAGCTGCTTATATCTTTCTTATTTGCCTATAGAACTTGAAAATATTAAGTTTTTGACAAATGTTAAATGTCCAAGCCATAACAAACATATTGATTTGAAATTTGCTTGGGAGTTTTATGTATGTTGTGGTGTGGCCTAATTTTGGTAGAAAATATTGGAACATCTAAACTTGTGATATGCTTTATAAAGCAAACTATTGCTTTTGGAGTGCTTTATGGTTCAAGTTATAATGACAACAATTTGTTAGATTACAAAGGTAATCATAAATCCACAAAGGGTAGGGTTTTACTAAAAAAAACAAATCTATATTGGTTTCAAGAATGTCTTGGAGGTTATCAATTGCTCTTTATGTTGACAACAAAATAGTGAAAATATCGCAACACTAGAAGTTATGACATATTGTCAAAACACTATTACTATGTTAAGAATTTAGTATACAAAAATTTACTAAAGGTTCAATACATTTCCTCTTGACAATAACTTGCCAAGATTTTTAAGCCAAAATTCTATTTGTGGAACATAAGAATTTTATTTAAGTCATAGCCATGCCTTAATTGAGGAGGAGGTAGTATTAACCCTTAGCTTGAAAAAGAGTATTGGAGCCAAAATCTAAGGTGTGATATATGCCTTGCATCATAGAGATATAGAGTTATATTTAATGGCAAGTTTAAGAGAAATTTCTAGATTTAGCTAATATCTAATTAGTAGTCTTTTTTATTTCAAATAAAAAATTGTTTTTAGTTTCCTTTGAAAAGATCTAATTCATTCTTTGATCTCATTACAGTAGCAATAGTCACACCCTTGGCTTTAGGAGTGTTGGAGCTGAAATCTAAAGTGTAATAAGTGGCTTAAATTATGGTGATAAAAATCCACATTCAATGTTAGTTTCAATGTAACTAGTATATAATTAGTAGTTCTTTCTTGTTTCAAAAACACATAAACACTTATTGAATAAAAACCTTAATATATATTAAATATTTGAAAGAAATTGTATAAATAATGCATTGAAGCTCACACCAACCAATAGAGTCATATTTAAGATTGCTTTGATATAAAATGTAAGCTCTTGAATTTGGACTTCTTGAAAAGCCACTCAACCTAGTACTATTCAAATCTAAAGACATTTAACCCCAAGTATCCCAAGAGATTTAATCGATTGGAAAAAGGGGTGATGGGCCCTTTCCTTTTATATTTGAACTTTTATGGATTATCTTTTAAGTCATTTTTTTTTTGTTACTTACACTAAACTTCATTTTTTGGGGCTTTTGTCATTGTCATACCCTACACTTCAAACCCAAGATTAAACTCTATTTTCTTGAGCTTTTGTCATTGTCATAATTTAAATGTATGAACATTGATATCTTAAAAAAAAACTAACTTGTAAAGGCATCAACACCTTCTCTTCACTTTTAGAGCTCCTAATGGCTGATTTGGATTTGGATTCCTGGTTGGTTATTATATGAAGTGGGTTAGCTTCTTCTAAATAATAGTATAACTTACGTACTAACACCTCTTATTTGTTTTTTGGGTATTGCTATCTAAGTGTTGGTATGTCTCCCTTACTGGCACCTATGCATATTTACAAAGGCTAATTTATTTTTGTTAAAGTGTATCCTTGAATAACATAGGATGAAACACTTTGAAGTATATGACCTTTTGTTTCAGCTAGAAGAAATCATTTTTTGTGTTGTATCTATTTATATTGTTTACACTACATGTTAATTGATATTTAATAGGTCTAGTTGGGCTTGACCCGAGGGGTAGGGTGTCAAAAGAGCAAAACTCTTGAAAGAGCTATAGTTTTCAATTTCAATTTACGAAGGCATGAATTTGTAAGGAAGTATAATAGATTTTAAGCAACCAAAAACAACAATTCAAAAGACAATTCATAGGAGTTTAAATATAGAAAGAAGAAGCTTATAAATAAAAATGTACCCTTTTTTTCAATTGATTAAGGGTTTTGGGATACTTGGGGTTAAACATTGTTAGGTTTGAAAAATACTGAGGTAGGTGGCAGCTTGGGAAGTTCAAATTCAAAAGGTTACATTAAGTCTTGGGTTTACACTTAGTCTTGGGTTTGAAGTTTAGAGTATGACAACAAAAAACATAGAAGTTTAGTGTTTAGGGTAAAAATTTAAACCAGTTGCTTTTTGAATTTTTGGTTTGCTTAAGCAAATTTTTAACAGAGTAAATATATTTTAATATGCTTGGATATTTTAGAATATTTTACCAAGTTGTTATTCATTTAGATTAATCTTATATTTGTAATTTATAAAATTTTACTTTCTAGTATATTATACCATCTAATTATTGATATGTGGTAAGATTAATCTTGTATTTATAAATTATACACTTTCAACCTAAAAATGATCACATTTTTTAAAATAAGTTTTTCTAAATGGTGCTCAAACACTCTAGAGACTATAGTTGGACTGTAAACACTTATAATATGGTTGATTTCAAGAAGTTATCTTGTTATTTAAAGAGATTGAACTACATGTTTACTCAAATAGTTCATTATGGAGTATAATACGAAATCACTAAGTAAATATAATCTTGAAATTCTCAACAAAATTTATTTTTGGCATATAATCATTGGAGAAAAATGTGGTCTATCTTTTATGCCCATAATACTCATTCAGCTTCATATAAACTTTTCTCCTTTGCAAAAATTTGAGAATTTTTAATGAACTATACATTGAGCAACTTGATAAACAAGAATTATGCTATTATTATGTAAACTGTTTGGCTGTCAAATTAAAGTAAAATTATTATTAAGTATTGTCAAATTTGTAATTAAATTTTCAAACTGTCCAGCTCTTATAAAACTTGTCAATTCCTTGCAAGCTGAAAAGTTGTCACAATCTTCATCTCCAACATCTCGCAATCGTTGCTGCGTGCAAACGCTGGATTGTTAACTTGGTTCCGAGCCATTCGGAAAAAGCTTGCACTTTGATAAATCAAACTTGATCTTTTTTTTAAGGCTTTGTGTACATTAAAACCGCAGGCTAGCCTTCCTTACACCAATCTTTCTTTCTTCTTTCAATCAGGAAAGGTGATGGAATAGCAAAAGAAAAAGACCCAACCCAAAATTGACAAACCAACCTTGGCATGAGAATGACCTTGCTCCATGGCCCGACCTCGTCCCGTTCCATCGCATTTCTCTCAGGTCCCTAGCTCGGCCAGAGTCGAGACGAAAAGGGGAAATTACTTATTACTCCTGAATAAGCAAGCCCGAGAAAGAGCCGTTGACTTACATTGACTTTTATTGGTCAAAGAATCGTTGTCGGCATCCGCGATTCGTTAGTAAAGCTTTCTTCTGCAACAGTGATTTTTTTATGGCGCTTGTTCGCGGAAATCCGGTGAAGTAGCGAGGAAAAGAAAATTCTCTCTGGGCTATCGGTCTTGTCTTTTTTTCTTTGTCTGTCTTCTTTCTAATGTTTTCTCCCGCTAGCACATTTGGCCGGGCTGGAGCTCTTGGCGGCGAAGATGCCACTCCGCTAGCGGAAGAACGAGATATGTGCGCTCGCTGTCCACCGTGAAACGATCATCGTCCACCTTATGCGCGAAGAGTGTAGCACACAGCACAAGCGTGTAGTCCTTGGAGTCATTGCTAGCGTGGAGCCTCGCATAACTGGGCGTGGGTGTGAACCAGAAGTAAGTCTCAGGCCTCCCGTAAGCATTAGCACAGCTTGACTGTATTCCGTTCGCCATGATCGAAGCAACGTTCCTCGTTTCGGTGCCGTGCCACAGGAACTTCAACACCGCTGGGGCGTCAGCTGGTTCGAATTCGTCACTGATGTTACCTGGTGATCATGCTCAAGCTGAAAAGAATTCCATAACAAACAGTGAGCTCTTACCGCGTAGAGCCCCTTGCTTGCTAGGTTATCTTCCGCACACGTGAGCTCTTAGGTGAGCTCTTACCGAGATCGGGACGATATATTCGCAACCATTCATATGCTTCCCTACACCCGGTTTGCGGAAGCATATGAATGGTTGCGAATGTATCGCGATCTCGCCCAACAGCTAATAGAAGACGACCACGTGTCAAAATAGCATAATTCTGGCATCTTTCTAAAATTTCTCGCGGCCTCTTATTTTTCTCTTTAATTGTTCTTTCATAGTTCCCATATATAAGAAACCTAAAGCGCTTTTTTTGCACAAGCTTTTAAAGGGGGTGTAGTGGTTTCCAAACTTTCAATCCTGAAAAGATATCCCGGGTTCGACTCCTGGCATCCTCAACCTTAAATTTTTTGCTCTAGCTAGAGCTGGATATTCTTTGGTATGTTCTTCCTTCTCAACTCCTGGATTTGAGCTTGCTCCTCCCTCATGCCACTGCTCGCGTAGATCGCCTCCATCAACAAATACCCCGCCTCGTGCCTCGCCTCCACTTCAACCAGCCGATCGAAAGCAAGCTTTCCGACCGCCGCATTCTTCCACTTCTTGCAAGCGCCCAGCACCGTTCTCCAAGCAACACCACTCGCCTCACAAGGCATGGCTTTCACCATCTCCACCGCTTCCTCCAGCTCGTTTGCGCGGCCGAGAGCGTCCACCATACAGTGGTAGTGCTCGGCCCCGGGACGAACTCCATACTTCGCTTCCACCTCCTTGAAGTAGCGCTTCGCTTGGTGGACAAGCCCGCCATGGCTGCACGCCGTGAGCACGCAAAGAAGTGCGATCCCATCTGGTTGGAAGCCTTCGTCTTGCATCTCGTCGAAGAGCTTGAAAACCATTCGCGTGTCCCCGTCGCGGCTGTGTGCTGCTATCACGGACGTCCAGGCAACCGCGTCTGGTTTCTCCAGGGACTCGAAGACCTGCTGTGCCTTCGCTGCGTCCCCGGCTTTGCCATAGCCATCGACGACGCCGTTCGCTACAACGGGATCGTCCTCGAGTCCACACCTGGAGATATCTGCGTGAATTCCCTGCAGAGGCTCCAAGGCTCCCACGCTGCTGCTACCTTTGAGAGCAGCCACGAAAGTTGGCGCGTCGGGTCTGTATCCCTGTGCTCGCATTCGATGGAAGAGTTGCAGAGAAAGCTCCCCCTGACCACTTTCGGCGAGCCCGAGTATCATCACAGTCCAGGACACCGCGTCGTGAAGGCGCACCTTTTGGAACACCTTCCAGGCGTCCCGGATGCTTCCACACTTGGCGTAGAAGCTGACGAGCGCGCTGGCTAGAAAAGTGTCCGAGTCGAATTCAAAGCTGGCCGCTCGAGCGTGAATCCCCACGGCTTTCTCGAGTGCCTCCTCTACTTTCACGAGCCGTCCATCCCCATCTGTCTTCCCTGCTAGACTGCTGCAAGCCTTGAGTGCCGCACAAAACGTTCGAGAGGTTGGAACGCAGCTGCTGTTCGTCTCGAAGATACTCAGGGCCTCTTCTGCTTCCCCGTTTGTGACATATCCCAGGATCAAAGCGTTCCACGAGACGGGATCCTGAGGCGTCATCCCATCAAAAACTTTTCGAGCGTCGGCCAAACTCCCACACTTGACGTACATGTCCACCAGTGCGTTCGCCACACTGACGTCCGTGTCGTAGCCACTCTTGAATGCTTGAGAGTGCACAGCTGCGCCTGTTCCCAGCGACTCAGCCTTCACCATCCTTCCTTCCACTTCCTTGGCTTCCTCTGTTGCTCCCAATACACTGCAGGCCCTGATGGCAGCGGCAAAACTGTACGCATTTGGTAGAAGTCCCGCCGGTTCCATGCACGAGAAAACTTCCAGAGCGAGCTTCGGTTCTCCGCAGTCGACATATGCCATGAGCAAGGCAGTCCATGATACCACACTGCGCTGTGGCATCTTGTCAAAGACTATCCGGGCGTCCATCAAACTTCCACACCTTGAGAACGTATCTAGTAGAGCATTGGCGAAGAGAATTCCATTCTCAAAACCGTGTCCCGCAGCTTGCAAATGGACTTCCATAGCCTTCTCAAGAGATTCCAGCTTGACAAGCTTCCCCTCCACGTCAGTCCCCTCCTCTTTAGCTGCAAGATCAACACACGCTTTGAGAGCTCCAACAAATGTCGAAGAGTTTGGAGCACAGACCTTTGCTGCTAGTATTTCCGCTAGTAACTCCAAAGCCGTACCACCCTCGCTGTTTTCTGCGTATCCAAGCATCAACGCGTTCCACGAGACCACACTGTGCTCCCGCATCGTGTCGAAGACTTTGCGGGAATCGAGCAAACTCCCACACTTGGCATACATGTCGACGAGTGTGGTCGCCACGAAAGCCTCCGAGACAGAACCGATCTCTGCTGCCTGCGAGTGAATGGCCAGTCCCTTCTCTAAAGCCTGTAACTTGACGACCACTCCGTAGATTTCCTTCTTTTCTTCGTCGGCTGCAAAGGTGGTACAAGCTTTCAGAGCAGCGACCAAAGTTGAGGCATTTGGTTGGCAGCCGTCCTCACTGATCCATTCAAACATCTCCAAGGCGAGCTCTGCTTTCCTGTTCTCGACATATCCCAGCAACAACGCGTTCCAGGACACAACGCTGTGAAAACACATCCTGTCGAAAATCCTTCGAGAATCAACCAGGCTCCCACACTTTGCGTACATATCCAGCAAAGTGTTGGTGACGACTATCTCCAAATCGTAGCCAGATTGCGCAGCTTTCAAGTGAATTCCCATCCCCTTCTCTAAAGACTCCAGTTTCACCACCATTCCGTCAACCTGCTTGCCTTCTTCTGCTACTGCCAAATAAGAGCACGCCTTTGTGACAGCCACGAAGCTGCACGCGTCGGGAAGACAGCCTCGAGGTCTCATGTGTCGAAACAGTTCCAAAGAGAGCTCGGGTTCCCCGTTTTCCGCATAGCCGAGGATCAAAGAGTTCCAAGCCACGACGTTGTGACCAACCATCCTGTCGAAGACGAGACGCGAGTCTCGCATGCTTCCACACTTCGCGTACATGTCGATGACAGTGCTCGACACAAAAATGTCCGAGTCGTATCCGCGTTTTGCAGCCTCTGAATGTAGAGCCAGACTCTTCTCCAGGGACTCCAAGCTCACAAGCTTGCCATCCAGCACCGCTTTTCCTTCTTCTTTCAATCCCATGTCCGCGCAGGCTTTGCAACCGGCAACGACAGTCCGAGCATTCGGCGAGCAGCGTTTAGTCCGCATGAGCTCGAACAGATCCATAGCCAGCTCCCCTTCCCCATTCTCTGCGTATCCAAGCATCAGCCCGTTCCAGAGTATCACGTCGTCGTGGGAATCCAGCTTGTCAAACACCTGCTTAGCATCCTCCATGCTTCCACACTTCGCATACATCTCGATCATGCTGCTTGCCAGGAACCTGTCCGAGTCGAAACCAAGCCTCGCAGCTTGATCGTGCAGAGAAATCCCTCTTTCCAGCGAAGCCACCCTCACAAACGTGCCGTCAACACGTGTGAACTCCTCCCTGAGAGCCAGGCGGCCGCAAGCTTTGGTAGCGGCTACGAGAATCCGAGCATCCGGTGGACAGCCAGCGTCTTCCATGCGAGAGAAAAGCTCCAGCGCGAGCTCTCCATTTCCATCCTCGGCGTGGCCCAGCATCAATGACGTGAGAGCAATGGCGTTGTGGCAAGGCATCCTGTCAAAGACACTGTGAGCGTCGGCCATGCTCCCACACTTGGCGTATGCGTTAACCAAAGCGCTGGCTGCGTAAACGCTGGACACTTCACCTCTTTCCATGGCGTCTGCGTGGATGCTCTTGATGCGCTTGACATCCCCGGAGCTCGCGCACGACTTGAGCGCCGCGAGAAGGCTGGGAAGATTTCTCCTGGCATTTTTGGAAGCGCTCACTGCAATATCGAGGAGACAATCAATCAAATCCAACAATGTAGCGGGGAAGATCTAGAAATACTCACTAAGAATCCCTCAATCGGTGAGATTCTCCGGCAGCTCTCGCAGCGCGCGTTTGTTGGCGCTGGAAGGAAGCCTTCGTCCTCGATCGCGCTGGCGAGCTTCCATCTGCGATCAAAAGAGCGACATTCCAGGATTATGGAGCTCGGTGACAAACCTCTGGATGCCGATCCATGCCTGGCACATTGCGGGAACGAGCATTTTCTCCCAATCTCTAGGAAGAACCCTAGAACTCTTGCTGACGTGGCGGCTTAAGGGTTTGGGATGTATATATAGAAGACATGCTCTAGAGAATTTTTTTTTTTGTGTGGGAGGGAGGAACACAAAGGCGAGCGCTGGACGGGTTTTCATCGGCTCGACCATGCTGAGGAGCTCGGCGCTGGGCAGATTTTCATGGAATATCAGCGCAGCGGCACTGCAGGTGAGATTCCAGTGCCCTACCGGCGCGTAGCTCGTAGAAATCCTTCTCGCGACAATCCCCAATCTCTCCTCGCGCTCCTCCTCTAGCAGCTAGGGAGTTCGATTGCGAGCGGCAGCGGCAGTAGCGTCTCCGGGAAGCCCTAGTGTGTGGCGATCGAATTCGCGGGCTTAGGGTTTAGAGAGCTTCCTCTCCTTCCAGCGAGCGCACGCTAACGGTGGACTGCCCGCGCAGACGATTATGACATGGCTCCTCGCAAGGGAGTTCTCCGGAGGTACGATAGCAGGAAGCTCCAGATGAAGAAACTCCAGGAGCTAGAGCAGGAGGCTTACAAGGCTGTGATGAGAGCTTTCAATGCTCAATCCGATGGCCTCTCTTGGGTATGATGAATTCTACTTGTGTTTAGCTCGTCTCACTTGCTTTGATTTTTTTTTTGTTCTCTCTATCTTTTTGCAGGGTAGAGAAAGGCTGATGTCTGATCTGCGCAAAGAGCTTAGAGTGTCCGACGAACTCCACCGAGAGTTCCTGAGTAGAATGCCCGAAGATAAAACTGTGATGCAAATCAGGTATTTTCGATCAGAATTTTTTGAGGTGGAGAGCGCTATTAAATGTTCCACAGGGACTGTAGAAGAGCTGGCCAGGAACAAACGGGTAAAAAGAGGAAGGTGTGTGCTTTCCATTTTGCTGGTGGGTTTCCTGTGTACTGATTAAATCCTTTCGGACTTGCAGAGCAACGCTACCGGTGTGCTAAAGAGGTTTCCGAAAGGAAAAAAGTCAAGGGTCGATGCTCTGAAACCGGAGGAGCCCGAGCTACTGACAATAGACGCCCTTCAACATGAGGTACCAGCTACTTGCTGTACTTTGCTTTTTCATTTGCTTTTTGATATTTGTAATGCAGGTGGGACTGCTAGAGGTGGAGCTGGATGCAACTCGGCTAGCCAGGGCGAAAAAGGCAGCATATGTACGTGAGCTCCGGGATGTGTTTCAGAAACTCACACGGAGTTTATGCTTGTAGGAATACAAGACCAAGCTTATGGATGCCTTGGAACAAGCTGGGCAGGACAACGAAGATGGTAAGTTCAGTTTTTCTTGTTCATTGAGAGTAACTCTGTGTCGTAGATTCGGAGAAAACGGAGGACAGGGATCCAGTTCCAGGCACGGCCGATACTCAACCGCAATCACAGTCCCAGGAAAACGTGAATACTGAGAACACTGAGAATACCGAGTGTAAACCCGGGCACGAGGACGGGTGAGCAAGCCACAATAGACGTGGGGGTGGGGGCTAAAAAATTTTGACCGCGAGGTACGGCTTCTTTTTAATTTTTTTTTTCCCCGGTGACGCTGCTGCTGGCGGGTGCAAAGTGAATGCACGAATGTTCATGGCGCCATTTGTACTATTCAATGAATTCTGAAAGTTCTTTCTCTGTTACATCTTTTCTACTAATCGCGGGCGCTGTAGAAAATCTCGCAGCGCGATCTCAAGCACTGGAGGTTTTTGTTCTAACATCTTAATGGTTTTGCTGACTCTTTTCTATGCAGAAGTCGACAGGTGTTCCTTGTGTTCACAGGTCTGACTAGAAATTTGTTTCCAGGATTTGTAAGTTCCGAGCTAAAGTTTTGATTTGCTTTGTGCAGTTTCGACGCGTAGAGCTTCGTAAAAGCTGAGCAGTGTACGGACGTTGATCTGGACTTTGGGAGTCATCCGCTTATCAATGACCCCTTACGTGTGAGGAAAAGGAGAAGGATCGTTTTGACGAGCCAGGTACTGGTGATGATACTCGGAGTTTCAAGCTTTCCACTCCACTAACGCTTTTGCCAGGCGAAAACCCAAGATTGCTTGCGCTGGAGCCAAACACTTGTCAGCTCGGCTCCAAGCTTGCTTGAATGGAAGCTCTGGAGCTCTCATTAGAGCTGTAGGGCCGTTGCTCCACCTCGCTAAAGTTCTGGTCGCGGGCTCTCGATCGATCGGCTTCCAGAAAAGAAAAGCAAGGTTCGTTTCTCATTTGCTTGTGCATGTTTGAGCGCTTTCCAGAGATCTGCCAAAGAATAATGAGGAATGGTACCACCAATATCGCAAGAGTTCCATTATTTATATCGCGTGAGCACAGCTAGATCCCAATTTCCCAGCTGCTTGAGTTGGCACCCCTGCCTAGGCGACACAATCGCAAGTCATCTCGCACAGATGGTTTCATCTGGTCCGTTCGCTGCTCGATGATCCATCCAGGGAAAAGGTTGGTTGAATCATGCAAAAGTGTGGCTACTGTACTGAAAACCATTCTTTGTTCACGCAGAATTTCTTTGGCGACTACCTACGCGTCGCTGGAGACTAAAGTTTATAGCAAACAAAAAATCTAGGAGATATCCCACACAAACTTGGTGTGTTTAGGTGGTGAGAATCTTAATAGTCCTCGACAAGATCCACAGTCTAGAAGATCATTACGTATCCCACACACAAGAAGTAACGCGAGAAAAAAAACAATCTATTGTAAGTTGGAGTGGAATACCATTGTTCACGAAAGAAAATTGTAAGTTACCTGACGCCCTGGCCAGTGTGAGGAATGTCTCGTCTCTATCTATCCTGAGCCTACACACTTTTCGCTCGTACGGCCTCCACTATGCTGTTCTTGCTCGAGATCTTCCTGGGCTTGTACGGACGAGATCACTGTCGATGTGGTCCTCTTTCTTTTTCCTGGGTCGATTGAATTCATCGTGGAGGACAAGAGATCAAGGGTACCTGGGGGGGGCCAATCTTCGTTTGGATCTAAGTTTTTGGTGACCAGCCGCCATCCAATACACGGGCAGTAAGAACCACATACGATATAGTTAAAACTTAATGGTGGATTCCTTTCTAGAACGACGATGACCGATTGATCGAAACTTTTGGCTTAATCTTTCTTTCAAGTGTTAAGACTTGGAAGAAATGTCCTGCCAAGTTCATCCACAATGCATGGACGCCATTGTGGAAAGTCTGGAAGAAGAAAAGAAGAAGCTAACGCTCATGTATGTACCTACACTGTGGGGGCATTTTGTACGTACGCTCTTGTCTTTGTCTTTCGTTTCGCCACTGACTTGCGCCAATACCAAAAACCTGTATGAGAAACCAAAAAAATAAAATAAAAAACACGCCGTAGAGCTTACTCTAGTCGTATGCTTACACGTATTGTATTTCATGATCTCCCTATAAACAGCAACCCATGCATTGCTTTTGATCCGCGAAGAACTCAAATTTCCATGCAAGGGAAGTGATCTTAAACTGCTCAACTCGCTGGCAAGCGATCGAGGTAAGAAACTTCTCCTTTGATTTTTTCTTGTGAGTTGCCGATCGATCGAGAATCGAGATCGAATGCATGTAGAGCTTGCAGCAGCGATCGAATCGCTCCCAAGTTGGTGGTTTCGATCTTTTCACGGGGTGTTCTCTTTTATTTTTTGTTAATCCCTCCTCTTTTTCTTCCTCTTGCCGCCTTCTTTTTCCGGCATTTTTGGGGGGTGTCGATCGAATCCACTCTTGTAGGATATAAAATTTCATCCATCCCCATTCTTCTTTAGTTTCTATATTTTTCTTGGTTTCCTCACTTTCGTCATACTCTTCTTGTGTGTTGTTACCAGGAGGAGGATCATTCGCCCAAGCGAAACATAAAAACAATCCTTTTAGTAGAGTTTCGATCGATCTTTCTCTCCACCTAACTTGATCTCGCCTTCCTTCTAGAGAGAGCCACTGGTCCATCCATCCAGAGCCAGCAGCAAGCAGTAGAGTAGCAGCCAAGAAAGGATTTCACCGCAAGCCAGCCAAAGCGGCAGGGATTCATCCAGGATCATCAAACCGAAAAGCAAGAAAGGCGCTCCATCGATCGATCTTGTGCCACTCCAAATTCTCCTCTTTCCTCCTGCATTGCATTGATCATCCAAAGCTGCGCACGCTGCTCTACGAGCCGAGCCATCGCTTTGCTCATTGAAATCCACCGCTACCACCGTCAAAGCAAAGCAAGCGCAAAGGCACGAAAAGGAGAGTGAGGGTTTCAGTGCACTGGCAGAGACGAGAAAGGAGGCCAAGAAAAAAGGTGAAGTGGTGGCTGCGCTGTGCTGCACTTAAATGATTTATCATTGATTACCCGCGAAATCGATATATCGACATATCCATCTCCTTCAATTCGCGAGCGACACAGAGCAAGCAGGCACAGAGCCGAGCAGAGGATTCTCTCTCTCTTTTTTTTTGCCACCTAGTTTTGTCTTGCCAGAAAATTTTCTTCTTTTTCTCCTGGTTTGCGAGCCCAATTAATGCTGGGCTCTGATCAATTCGGGAGCTGAGGTAGGTCGTCAAGCGAAGCAGCAGCAGGAGTACAAGATGCTGCTGCTGCGATTGAAAGATTTCCCTATCTTCTTCCAGGCGGGATCATCATCTCCTGGAAGATCCGCGGCGCAACCACGCAAGTCGCGATTTTGAGCACCTGGGTCGGCTTCTGCGGCGTCGAATCGATCGCCCATCATCGCCGATCGCGCCCGGAGCATCGATCCGAGGAGAGCCGAGCTGCCAAGAACAGGGGAGGTGAGAAAAGAAAAGGAAATGCCGGTTCGCGACTGCGAAGAACAGATGGGTCGCACTGGCAGTAGCACGAATGTGGATCGTCATGATCATCATGGGCAGGATCGTCATCGTCAACAGCTGGTGGAACATCATCACCAGGATCACATAGTTTTGGAAGTGACTCTGGATGTTCACAGGGACTCTGTAACGCTGAGGAGCGTTTCTCCAGTCGCTGATCCATCGCCCACAACAATCTCCTCGAGGATCATCATCGACGATAGTACCACCAGCGCCACCACCGCGCAAAATCGCCAGGGAGGAGGCGGCGTCGCGATCACCATCCCGGTGAGAGCAGCAGCGCCACTGCCGCCATCCAATTCCAAGGGGAAGCATGACGCGCGGATCATGCCAGTGGATTTCTCGCCCGATCGAGAGCCCCCAGCAGCGGCGGCGGCGGCGGCGGCGGCGGCAGCTCCACCCGCGATCGCCACAACCAGTCGCGCGATCGAGGGGCTTCGCTTCATCGACAAATCCAACCGCGACACGAATTGGGAGACGGTGGATGCGCGATTCCGGAAGCTCAGCGCTGGCAGGCCCGATGGGAGGCTGGCGAGATCGGATTTTGGGGCGTGTATAGGTGAGCTCTCTCTGTTCTTGGCTGGAATCTCTCTGATCGCTCGCTCGCTCCAGGGATGAAAACCAAGGAGTTTGCCGGGCAGCTCTTCGATGCATTGTCGCGGCGGCGAGGCAAGGAGGGATTGACGAGCATTGGGCGAGAAGAGCTGAGCGATTACTGGCTCGACATGACGGACAAGCGCTTCGATTCGCGAATGCGCATCTTCTTCGACCTGTAAGGCGCTGATTTCTTGCGATTTCTTCCTGTCGCTGATGCGATCGTGCTGCCACGCAGCTGCGACAAGGATCTGGACGGGCGAATCTTCGAGGACGAGGTAAAAGAGGTAAGAACCTTTCTATCCCAGCAAATGCCGTGTCTGGGTATCTTGGACTGAGCGAGTGATTCCAGGTGATCTTGCTCAGCGCGTCCGCGAATCGGCTCTCGATCCTCGAGGAGCAGGCCGAGGAGTACGCGGCACTCATCATGGAGGAGCTGGATCGCGAGAAGAACGGCTACATTGGCGTAAGATCATCACTCTTTCACCCATCCAAGCTTACGTGAATCTCTTGGATCTCCAGTTGCTCCAGCTCGAGGGACTGCTGCGAAGCCCCAGCGCCTGCGACCACCAGAGCCAGATGATAAGCTCCTCGGCGACGCTGCCCAAGAGCGCGATCGGGAGGATGGAATCGCTGAGGCGGCGCGCGAGGGTGGTGCTCCTGGACGACTGGCAGCGCGTGTGGATGATCGCGCTGTGGTTCGCGGTGATGGCGGTGCTCTTTAGCTGGAAGTTCATCCAGTATAGCTACCGCTCGGGGTTTCCAGTGATGGGCTACTGCCTGTGCACTGCCAAGGGCGCCGCCGAGACGCTCAAGCTCAACATGGCGCTCATCCTTCTCCCGGTTTGCCGGAATACCATCACTTGGCTGAGATCCACCGCGCTCGCCACCATCGTTCCCTTCGACGATAACATCAACTTTCACAAGGTTAGTCTTCTCTCTCCTCTTTCGGTTCTCGTTTGCTTTGATCTTCGCCATAGCTGAGCATGTTTGTCCTACTAGCTTTTCTCTCTCTTTTGTTTTGCTTCCTTCTTCTTTGGGCTCTTTTTTTTTTTGTTCTTTCTCGTTCTACCATAGTTTTCCTTGGGTTTGCAGTGTTTTTGTGTGAGAATTGTTTCTATTTGCTGCACTCTTGTCTAGATGGATCATATTTTGTTTTTCTGGCTCTCTCCATCACGTTTTTGTTCTTGATTCACATTTTTGCTGGCTGGATTGGATTAATGTTTTGCAACTTTGTTTTCCCTCTTTGTCTTCTGCAATATTTTTTTTGTCTTTCTCCTTCGCGAACGCTGCTAACTGAGTTACTCCCACGCACATCTCCCTGATCATGTAAGCCAAGTTTTTCTTCCATGGCTGTCTGTTTTTTGTTTGGTTCTTCGTCACCGCGATGTGTCTCTCCTTTTGTTCCTTCTTCTTCGCTGCGTCCATCTTTTGCAGTGGTTTGAGTTTTTTTGTTAAAGTTCTTCGCTAAATCTTCACTGTGCTACTGCCAGGAATTTTTTTTCACTACTTCCTGGCTTTTTGTTTTCACTCTTCTGGTTGATTCTCTCCAGCTGGCTGCCTGTTGCTTGCTGGTCCCTGGTGTTTCTTTCCTTTGTGCCTTTATGCTTTTATTTTCTCTAGTTTCAATCAATCAGTTGATCATAATGTTCTCCCTTGACTGATTGATTGTTCTTCGTGTGATCCTGACAGTGGAAAGCTAAAGTATTGTTTCGACCGTCTCTGGTACTTGGCTTGGGTAATGGGTGCTTTGTTGTATATGCCTTTCTTATACTTTTCGTTGCTTCATCGTCATCGCCATTGTCGTCTTTTTTGCATTGACGAATCTGAGCTTCTTACATGTTTTTTCTTCTTCTTTTTTTTTTTTCTGGAGATCAGCTGGTTGCAGTAGCAATCGTGATTGGAGTTTTCCTCCACGGGGGAGTTCACTTAACCTGCGATTTTTACCGGATTTCCAGCGCGGACTACATCAAGTTCATACAGACACTAGGCGTGAACTTCAAGTTTGCCCAGCCGACGTACCTGGATTTGGTGCTTTCGATCGAGGGAATGACCGGGATTATCATGGTGCTGCTCATGATCATCGCGTTTTTGCTGGCCACGCACTGGTCGAGGAGAAATCTCGTCAAGCTCCACTGGCCATTCCACAGGTTGACGGGCTTCAATGCCTTTTGGTACTCGCACCACTTGTTCGTCCTCGTCTACGGTCTTCTCATCGTTCAC